GATTGTATAAGTGTGAAAAATAAACAAGTGCACGGATATAGAAAGATGTTTAAAAAATCCTAAAAATTCTAAGTATTTGAAAACATAATTTGTTGTTTCTTTGTTTAGAAAATATTTGAAATGTGAAATAAAAAATTAGACCTAATTTCTAATTATTTATAATTTAATTACACAAAATAAAATAAGGTGTAATTAAATTAATTAATTTATATTTATGAAAATTAAATTAATTAATTAAGACCTAAAGAAATCTAAGTATTTAGAAAATATTTTTGTATTTGTTTAGAAAAATAAATGAAGTATAAAAACCGTAGTCTTTATAAAATAAAAATGAAAAATATTTTTGTCATTTTTTATGATTTTTTTAATAAAAATGATTTACAAAAAAGAAAAAGTTAATTAAAATAAAAAAAGAAATAAAATGGGCCTGAACTGCAAAAGGAAAAATGGGATGTTAGAAAGCAAAAACAAAAAGCCCAAAAGGGAGTCCCAAGCGCTGTTTGGATCTAGTGAGGTTGGCCCTTGATAGTTCATGGTGGAAAGACGCGCTTGAAGCATTGGATCTGCATGCATGATAGTCTAATGGTTGTAGTATGGGGTGTATGTTGAGCGCATGTGACTTGCATGTACTTTATTCACAAGAGAAATGTTGAAAACTAAAATGCCAGAGGCAGGGATCGAACCCCTTCCCTGGAACATTAACGCCCTACAAACACATGCTTGCCACTAGGGTGACTGTTTCATCTGGTTATGAAACAACCATCAATAAATATATTATAAAACGTGTCCACAAGTTCAAATTTATGAACTTCATCTTCTACCTCGCGGCAGAATAAAACCCAACATTTTTTATTTTTCAATTTATTCTATTTCTCAAACTTTTGAAAAATGTAAACATCAAAGTTGTTCCAAATTTCACCATGAATTCAAACATGCCATTAACTTAAGCTAAAACTCAAAGATTAAAGTGAATTTCTGTTGGTACCAAATGGAACCCTAACATTTCAGAAATTTCAAATCCAAAATTCTCATCACACGGTCAACATAAATGAAAACTAAGGACATGGTTAGCTTCAGAGCATTGATATCTACATTTTTGCTTTAGAAAGTAAATGCAAATGATGCTTGTGCAGAGATTTTAAAGTTTAGAAAATTTACCTCAAAAGTGATAATTGAGTTTGAAGGTAGGGCACTTCTGGAGGTGTTAGGATGATCTGGATAGCTTCACTGAACTCCCAGGAAGCTTTTGTAATGCTTTCCTTGGTTTGAGAGTGCCTCAACTCTTCTGGACAAGTCAAGTTCCAGAGCTCAGTTTTTGAATTTGAAAGATGATGAAGATGGTGTTACAGTTATGATACAGGTCTTTGGATGAGTTTTATATGAGTTATAGAAACTTTGTAAATGATTTAGAGTGAAAACGCACGAGTGGATTGAGTGTTTGGTGTTCAAGGTCAGAAGTTGCAACAAATAGAGTTTTTTGAGCAATTCTGAGTTTGAGAGAGTTTGGGAGGGTTAGAGGGATTTTCTATTCATGGTATGGCTTGAAAATGATCCCTTTATTTATAAGGAAAAGGTTTGGAAGACTCAAGTAACCAGAATTGAAAGATAACAAGTTATTGTTTGAAAAAGTGAAAAATAAAGTTGGATGAGTTTCTATGGTTCCAAGGTTCAAGTACAAGCATGATTTGTGGTTTGTTGGTTGCAGGGAGGTTACTTTTGATGTTAGAGATTACTTGTACTAAGATGAAACAATTTGGGAGCTCAAGAATTTGACTTTGTGATTAAAGCTTGCTTTACAAGAATGGAAGTGTGATCTTTTTCCCAAAAATGGAATGATGCATTGGACAATGCTTGAATTACTTGGATCATGGCTCAAAAGTTTGTGTAATCTTCTGATTATGGATAAATTTAGAGGTTAGAAGCCTGTAAAGTGAGATTATGCAGCATGGCTTGGAGATTTGATCTGATGTTCATCACAAAAATGACTTGTATTTTAAGAATGGATGCACAACTTCATGCCTTAGAATATCTTAGCTCAAGCATGATAAAATTGTGTTCTTGGACATTTTGGAAAGCTTTAAATATTGTCTACAACTTTCATGTTGTGATTTTTGTCTAAATCAAATGAGAACTTAGTGAAAAATGGCCATGAAGTTGGGACAAATATCTGATCAAAACTTGTAAAAAATTTCTAAGTGTTGGATAAAAAAACATCCTAATTCATGAGGTTATATCTCTTAATCCAAGCACTTTTTGAGGATCAATCCACACTAACAAAGTTGTAGAATTAATCAATCCCTATAACTTTCATGTTGAAAGTTTTCCTTGAATCATCTTGCGTCTTGAGGAAACTTGCTTATGAAGTTAGGGTTTTTGTTAAGAACAAAAACACTTAGAATTTTTCTAAGTGTTAGAAAATTTTCCAAACTTGACTTTGTTGAATTTTTGATTTCTTGATGATCAAGTTTGATAGTTTTGAATATTTTGATGATTCTTGACTTTTGAATTCTAATGTTGACCAAAAAGTCAAAGTTTGACTTTTGAATGACTGTTGACTTTTCATCAATTGATTCAAAATTTCAACTATCAATCACTTACATCTTTGGAAATGTCTTGAGCCATGTAATTAGGTCAATATGTTATATTTTAACTCTTGAGATCATGCTTCAATCCATTAGGTTATATACTAGGTTAAAAGTCAATGATCAGTCATCTTTAGTCAAAACCCTAATTTTGACAATTTTGACCTTTGATGTTTTGAGGGTTTTCCTTGAGGAATCATAACCCTTGATAAAATGATGGATATCACCTTAAAATGTTGATAAAAAATCTTGAAGTTTGACTGTATGTTGACCATAATTGACTTTTACCCAATACAATTGATTTTCAATCATCTGAGTCATTGACTGGGAAAATTTGTTATGCAAGGCTTGAAACTTGTCATGAGCATTGTTGAGGACCTATTATGAACCATGAAATTCATTTGAGACCCTTGCAAACCAATTTTTCTTAAGAAACACCAAACCCTAGTTGAAGACCCTTGCTTAGGAGGAGATTTGACCAACCATACTCTTGATTAGTTTTGAGCAAGTGGGGACCTCATGAGAATATCTTGAAGAAAATGGGAGGGTAAATTTTGGGGTAAAACACCAAGAAAAATAGAGTCGTTGGCTATTTGAAAAAGAGTCGTTACAAATAGTACTGCTACGTCATTCTCTCTTCCATAATTCAAGCCAGTGGAGAGGTAGTGTAATAAGGCTTTTCATATTGTGTACTATTGTACCATGTTACCATTATATTCTTTCTTTTTTAACTTCATAGGCTTCTACGAGCATGAGTTTAGAAACGAGAACATAACACAAGGTCTTCAGAACTTCAAGTCTTCAGAATTGTGTCTTCAGAGTCTTTAGCACTTGGTCATGAGAACCCGTTGTAGAGAACCTTGGATAAAAGGAGCTTTATGTCTTTAGAGTCTTAAGAACTGCATCTTTAGAGTCTTAAGTACTTGGTCTTAAGAACCCGTTGTATAGAACCTTAGATCTTTAGAACTTCAAGTCTTCGGAATATTCAAAGCTTCCGTCTTTAAAATATTTAGCCCTTGGTTCTTTAAGAATCCTTTTAAGAGCCTTGTCATTAGAAACACAAGTCTCCAGCATTTGGACTTCAGTAGAAAATTTTTCTTCAGATCTTCTAACTTTGTCTTCTTTGAAACAAGTTGTCATTTAGAAACTAAGTTTTTAGCATCTGAACTTCAGTAGAAACTTTGTCTTCAGATCTTCTAACTTTGTTTCTTTGAAACACACTCTCTTTAGGAACTTGAGTCTTTAGCATCTTGACTTTAGTAGAAACTTGAGCCTTCAGATCTTCTGACTGTTTCCTTAGAACACATTGTCTTTAGAAGCTTGGGTCTTTAGCATTTGGACGTAAGTAGAAACTTCTGTCTTCAGATCTTATGACTGTTTCCTTTAGAAAAACATCATAGCTTACACTTCAGAGCCTTTTTGAGTGTCTTACTACTTTTCAACAGAACTTGTGTAGCGTAGAAGTGGAATTAATTCTCTTCGAATGTCTTGGCCACACCATCCATCAGAAGCAGAACCTGTTTGTTAAGTACTCAATAATAACAAACATTAGAGTATCAAAATTGTCCATACAAACATACTCATTTGTTATCATCAAAACTCAAAGATAATATTGCAGAACCAAATCTTGTTCTTACAATCAAGGAATGTCTTTAGTTCATGACAATGTTGCAAAGTGATTTTTTGTAGAGAAGGAAGACAGTTGAAACCGTCATTAAACCAAATAGCAATGTCATGAAATTTTTTTCTTGAAAAATATTCAATTTGAAGATGTTGGAGACAAGTAAGATTTTGCATCCAGCACTTTGGGATGTTATCCACAACAAGTTTTTCTCCACCAATACATAAGGATTTGAGCATGGAAAGAGGAGGAAATGAGAGACTTTGATTGTTTAATGTTGTATCCAATGCATTCACATGACTACTGCTTAACTCCAAACTCTTATCAAGTTTTGGAAAATCAAGCATGCAAGTCAACTTCGAACATCCTATGATTGATAAATGAGAAAGAAAAGGAAAGGGATGGAAGGATATATCACGCGATTGTGAAGACTCAAAAGCATCACTTGTCCTATACTATCCCATCAAACTTTGACAATTATCCAACATGAGGCTCTCCAAAGATGGGAAGAATTTTTCAGGAAAGGCTCTTCATAATGTATGTATTTCACAAATACAAGACCACTTAAATGAAGTGACTTAAGGAATGGGAGACGTTCCAAAGAGGGTATAAACTAAAAAGTTCCACAAGAAATGATAGAGATTTTAACAATATTTATTAGTGAAGAAATCCAGTTTGAATTATGAATACCACTCACATTAAAATCATCAAAAGCGAATTCACGGATTTGAAATTTCAATGTTTTAAGGAAAACAAGATTGCTTATGAATTTGAAAATATCTATTGAAGCCCTGCAATCATATAAGTAAAGGATTCTTAAATGCTTTAATTTTCCAATTGAACCAGATAGCTCGGCTAAAGAAGAATTTGACAGTTTCAAGACGCGCAAGTATTTGAAATTTGATATAACGATGATTCCTCCCCATCCAATCCTGTCCGATAGGGAGACGAGGAAAAAAAACCAAAGTTCTCAGCCTGCTTGCATCTAATGAGTTCAAAAAATCGATGGCATTATGTTGAAAAGATACATGCATGGGCCTTCTAACTAGTTCTTCCGCCTTGCCACCCAAGAAACAACAATCTCTGCCAGCTACTTGCATTGCAAGGTCCTGCATTAAGTCATGCATTTTGAAATTACATATATCCCCTTCTCTGTCGATTTTTGCATCTTGGAAAAATTATTTTGTCAAGAAAACCTTCACGAATTGGTTACCAACGTCTTCCATGGCTTCAGTTTCAGGTGAAAATTTGAGATAACCTTGTGCAATGTATATTTGAATCAACTTATCCTTCTCTATTTCCAATACTTAGGATATATATATCAATATGTGAAACATTGTGTTGTACCCCAAAATTTTCCCTCCCATTTTACTCAACCATTGTCAATTGAGGTCCCTAAGTTGCTCAAGGAAGTCCAAGAGTTGACCAGACAAACTCTCTCCTAAGGCAGTATACCTCAAATTAGGGTTTCCATTTTCATCAAGATGCGTGAACCAAAAAGGACCCAAATTATTTCCAAGGTCCTAATATGTTCCCAAGATCATCCATGCCAAGTTTCAGGCCTTGCATAAGAAGTTTGCTCAGTCAACTGTTCAGATACTTGAGAATCGACTGTACTAGGTCAAGAGTCAACTGTGACCCACATACAGTCAAAACTCAAGATTTTTGATCAACATCAACATTTTGAAATTAATTTCATCATTTGATCAAGGGTTGATCATGATTCCCCAAGGAATGCTCCAAATTCATCAAAACCCAAAAGTTGCCAAATTAGGGTTTCTTAGGAAAAGTCAACCAAACTTTGACAAAGCATAACTTCTTCATACTTTATCAGAAATTTTCCATCTAAGGCTCATTTTGAAGAGGATTCAATTCCCTACAATTCATCTTCATCCCACAAGTTCAAAATATGCACTCATAAAAAGATATGAATTTCTACATTAAAGGTCCTTCTGAAAAGTCAACAAAAACACCTTTTGGGTCAAAGCTTCTTACATGAACATGGAAGACCCAATTGAAATGAAACCAGAAGGGTTGGTTAGGGGACATCCTAAGATTTCTAAAAAGACCAAGAACACCCTACTAGGGTCAAAATTGAGAGAGATATGCATTGTCAAAGTGGGCAATTTTTGGAAAATTGTCAAAAGTCTATATTGATCAAATTTGCATTTTTTCCAAAGGGACCCATGTTTTCTTGTTTGAAACATGTTTCTAATAGGACCCACAACCCCTGATCTTTTCCACCTATTATTCTATTATTTTTATTATTTATTTTGATTTTATTTCATTTAAATCAAAACAAATCAATATAAAATAGTAAAATAATGAAATAAAATCAAATCCGTGATTTTTTATGCACATTTTGAGTCCATGTACAGCTAAAATGCCAGCCAATTCGTGCAAAGTGGATTTGGATTGAAAAAGATTGGATTGAAACTTGTTTTAGAAATATATCATACAAGAACAAATCAAATCCAATTTCCATTATTTCTCAAGATTCATGCCAATTTTATTGACCTAATTCAGTCTACTATAAGTGCATAACAATTGCAAATCAAAAGGAGGGGTTTTGCAGTCGTGGGGAGCAAGAACAAAAACTCAAAAATTGGATAAAAAGTGTGCATTTAATTTCTGCCCTAGAGGACGATTCCAGGCCATTCAAAGACCCTAATCACTTCCTGGCCATCTCCTGAAGCCAACAACATCATTTACAGCCTTCAAAACATCAAGAACCATCACCTAGACACATCACGGTTTACCCAAAATTCTCAAAATCTTTTACTATGTTTTACGCATTATAAATCCATTCTATTCATATATTCTTGTTCATAATCGTGTTTGCAAACTTTCTATATCTTTTAATTGTATTAATAGTGCAGGGATCCACACTTTCCATTGTTAGGGTTCGTGAGAAGTTTTGGGGTTTCTTGATATAGAAAAAATTAGGCCAAGAAAATGCTACCATGATGCTCGTGAGGCCAAGACGAGTTGATTGGTATAGATGGAATTGATTTATCATGCTTGATATGAACTTTTGAGTTTTGCAGGGCTGTAGTTACAAAAAACGTCTGTAGGTATAGGTCAATAACCTAAGACGACTGATAGGGAAGAAGACAATGACTTGTCACCATCCCACTGGTCCATTTGAATTCACGTGCGTTTTTCTGGGCATCATGTGCTTTTGTATTATATTATATTTCATTTATCTATGTTAACAAAAGAACAAACGGCACAGATGGTTGAGAGGCACGCCTTTGATGCACACGTCCTGAGTTCGATCCCAGGCGTGTGTATTATTTTATTTTCCTATTTATTTCAGGCAGATTTGGTGTTTCTCATCAAACAAGCATACCATGGACCTATGCCTCATCACCATTGGATGACACGCTGCCTAGATCCAATGTCTCTAGATTGCATCCTCATGATGGACCTCGTGAAGGCCAGCTCCACAGGATCCTGCATAGTTCACTGGGCTCAGCATTATTGGGCTTGGAATTTCAGCTTCACACCCCCTTCAGCAATTCAACAACATGCCCATTTTATTATTTTTCTATTCTTTTTTTTTCTTCTTTAATTTCTTTGTTTATTTTTCTTTAATTAATTTATTTTTCTTTTAATTAACACAAAATTATTTTTTATTAACAAATCATAAATCACAAAATTCTTTTTTTTTAATTATATTTTTATTTTTTAAAATTAGTTAGTTTAATTAACTTAGGGCAATTTAATCTTTTTATAATTAAAAATGATTAGAATTAGGATTTTAGTTGTACATAATTTAATTAATTTTCTTTAAAAATACATCAAAAATCATTTTCTCATAAACATCTATTTCTTTAATTAATTAATTTAATTTCTTTCATAATTTAAAAACAATTAGAAATTAGGTTTAATTGATTTGTAATTTAAATGTTTTCTCAAATAAAAATCCACAAAAACACTTTTCTCTCAATTAGGGTTTTAGGTTATTTCAATCGTCCTCGCGTTTAATTTGCCGCGCACTTGTTAATTATTTGTCCATAATTATGTAACTGCTTATTGGTTTGTAATAGTTAAAACTAGGGTTTTTATTTATCGCTTTTCCCCCACTTTTGGTTATGTAATTAATCCCCCTCCCCAAAGCCTTGTAATAGCTAGGTTTTATTTTTCGCACTTTAAATTCCCACAATCTATAACTGTCTAGATGCATGGCTAATAGGATTGTATGAAAAGAATGCTTAAAATTAAAAACGGTAGATCACCTAATGTGCAAAGACTAAATAACTGAAAAAAGTTCACATGCACATGTTCACTCCTAGGGTTTGCCTCACTCCAGTTGCCTTCGGTAAATAGTCATTAAGCATAGGAAATTTTAGTGGTCGCCCTCCTGTCTAAAAGATCAAATGTCCCATTCGAATATTGCCTCGGAAACGTTGCCTCGAAAAGATCTTAAGACTTTAGGGTTACCACTAAGGTTTTCTAACTATTGCTTTAGTGATTGTATTTGTCCCTTTCGAATGTCCCTTACAAATCCAACGATGGTGCTACCTACTCCTTAATAGTAGGATACCAATGTCTAAAGGAAACGAGAACGAATAATCTTTTTTCGAGTAGGTAGAATCTGAAGTACTTGCTCAGTAAAAACTTTTCACACAAACACCTTTAAAAACAAATTTTCAAAACAAACTTCGTCACACCCTTGAGGACTGGTACAAGGGTTATCACGAAGCAAAACATTTTCAAAACAAACACACACAAGCAATTTGAAAAATGAGCAAGTACCTAAGAGCCCATGGAAACCATGGATAGAAAGGGTGCTAACACCTTCCCTTTCTATAATCTACTCCCCGTACTCAGAAACATCTCGAAAAAGTTTTTTTTTGTTCTTTTTCCTTTTCCATGATTGGATAAAATAATAGTTGGTGGTGACTCTTGCTTACCGCGACATTTTGGGAACACAAAATGCAAAATGCAAACCAGTAAAAACAATCGGTTCTGCCACCGTATCACAGAACTGGCGACTATGCTGGGGAAATGCGATATAAAGTGGGGTAAACCTTAGGATCTAGGTCATATTTAATTGCTTTCTCTTGATTGTCTTGCTTGCTTTATATTTATGGGGACTATTTGGGTTATTTGATCCTACACCCGAATCGGGGAAACACCTTTTAGGTAAGTAGCAATAAACTGTGAGGGAACTATGCTGGGGTATACCGGCACAGTTGAAAAAGTAGCTACATTGATGTGGCACTTTGGTTGGTACCGGTAATCCTTGAGTCAATCAGGGAGAGTACGGGGCCCCGCGTGGTGTCGTGAAGCATCAATTGACCTTAGAACCTTTAATTGCACAACTTGGCCAGTAGGACGTAGTGAGATGGCCGACTTTGGTGTATTCCCAAGGTCGACATATACTCGATGCTACACTCATTGAGGTATGACTCTTGAACTTTGTTTGGTTGTGAGTCAATCGCCTATTGAACGAAGCTGGGAGAAAGATCAGTGATATTGAGATCCCTTTTAGAACCCAGTTACTATTTATAGGACATGTTGAACCAATCCAACTTCAAGAGGGTATGACCTTAAAACTCATGCAAGCCTTAAACCTAAGGACTTGATGTGACTTGTTTGTTGTTTGCTATACCTGTGATTTTCTAACCTAATCATGACATCATAAGCATGGCATATCATGACTAACCATTTCAAGGATTCCCTAGGGCTCATTTTTGCTCTGTTTTGTAGGACATGGAATCTGCCCGTAGGAACACTATACAAATCAACCTTGTGAAAGTGTCTCTCCAACTAAAGGATCTGGCATTAAGGGTTCTCTAAGGTTCTCATTTCACTAGAAAGCATGGTCAATTGCTCAATTTGGTCACTGCAAAACCTGATGAAGAGTTGTTAAAAGTGTTATTTCAGTTCTTCGATCCGGTGCACCATTGTTTCACCTTCCCAGATTACCAGCTAGTACCTACTATGGAGGAGTTTTCTCAGTTGTTAGGGGTACCTATTCTTGACCAGTTGCCTTTCAATGGTACAGAAGAACATCCAAAGGCTGAAGAAATTGCTAGAGCTCTGTCTTTACAACGGTCTGGCATAGTGGCAAATTGGGAGACTAGAGGGAGTGTCCAAGGAATTCCGGTTAAGTTTCTATTTGAGAAGGCTTATCATTTTTGGGATACCTTAGATTTACAAGATTTCGAAGAGGTGCTAGCACTTCTCGTATACGGGACGGTACTTTTCCCTAATA